CATCAGTTTTTGTCTTACAGGATGTCACTTTAAATATGTGCCGTTAGGCAATGGCCTCATGTCCTCAGTCTGTTCCTTAATTATTTCTTTTCCCCTTCCATTCACTCTCTCTTCCTCTCTGGGTGGTCTTGTCATCTCACATCAGTGTCAGCTGATCCTGACGTTGCTACTGCGACTTGCAGTTGCCCTGGCAACACCCCGGTTTGGGCGGGCAGGCAGCCAAGCAGGCAGGCAGCATAGACGTGACCTTTTTGCCCTATCCTGATCACACTGTCCAGGTCAAGGTTTGGTCGGGCTGAATTTTATGTCTTGATTTAAGTGGCTCATGGTGTATAAATTGACTTTGCTTGTGACCTTTTAATTAAAGCGCTCTATGGGATGAGCAGTTATGTGAAAAAATGTGACCGGTGTTGTGGTAGAAAGACAGACAGGTGATCTAGTGCAATCCTTCAAGCTCTTATTTGGTCTTTTAGGCGGGTGCACAAGGGGATTTTACACATTAATGTTTGCAGGTCCTGGGAAGTACTAGTGCATATGTGAAAAAGTTGTATAAAGTCTTTTGTTGCTTGAAATCTGAAAAAACTACCTCAAGTGATGTCACTTGAGTCGGCGTTGATTGGGTCTGAAGACTAGAAAAGCCAAGGCTCAAGGCTTCAAAACTGTACTCCACAAACCAATGGGTGGTGTCACAAGAGGATAAAACACTAACCTTACTGGTTTATGCAAATATGGCTTTAAGGAAGCAATTTGATTGGCTATATGGAAACAAGTTATGTATTGAGGAAAGAGAGAGATAGGCAGAGGTAGGATGGAGAACTAATGCTATTCCATGTACGAAGATAGGATCAAAAAGTTCAAAATACAAATTTCTCCCTTCTGGTTTCAAATTTTTCTTAAAAGGAGTACATAGGATGTGTCATTTACAGAGCAGATGTATATGCTGTAGTAGAATAAAAATGCAACAATCAACAAATCAAGCTCAGACAAGTTAAGACATGGAAGAGTGTGACGGTAGGAACAAAGGTTAACAGACAGGAAATCAGATTCAGACAGTAAATGGGGGGGACAGTAGCATGGCTGTCATGTTGACAAAAAAAAAAACGCCAGTAAAAACAAGCAGACAGCTGATGATAGCAGCAGGAAGACAAATGGAAATGCAAAAAAGAGGTGCGATAGGCTGACAGAGGAGCAGATGGAGGGAAAAGGCAGGGAGGCAGAGACAGGCAGTGACACGAAAAAGGCGGAGACAGAGACTGAGGCAGGTACTTGTAGTAAAAGGTCAATGCTCCTGTGATAAGGTGTGCTTGGACAGCATGCTCACAGCAAGCGGCCGAACGCTTGTCAACACGATACCAGTGCACTTCACTGGCCACAGTAAGCTCGGCAGAGCACACAAGGACGGAAGCATCGCAGTGTAAAGAGCCTTTTTATAAAGCATCACTTGGTTGCTGACTGAAAGTGACACAAACGTATACGGTCCAGAAATAAGACAACCACCATATGAAAAGACCAGTGAGAAAAAATCTTTATGGTCCAAGACAAAAAAACAGTATATCTGCAAAGGGTTGATAAGGTTGTTTGTCGCCAATTACAAGATTCATTTCTGATTTTTTTTTAGCCTGCATTTCGTGAATGGACAAAAAGTGAACACCAACTGAAGTCGAGAGAGAAGGGAGGACAGTGGTTCATGTTAGTAAATGACACAAGATGCTTCAGTGGGAAAGCATTGAATGTCATAGCTTATACAGAAGCAAAAATAAATAAAATACTGAGAAAGCAGGATTATGGTTGTAATATTTAGCTAGCGGAGGTTGAAGACAGAGACACTTTTTACATAAAATATCTTCTCATCCAGAGCAAGTGAGTCACTAACCAAAAAAAATGCTTCCATCTATATTTAAAATGAAGTTAATTAAAGGTGCAGTGAGTAGGATTTAGTGGCATCTACTGGTTCAGACTGCAACTCCCTCACTTCACCCTTCCCTTCCAAGCATGAAGGAGAAACTATAGTGACAGCGTGAATGGTCCTATCTGGAGACAGCGTTTGATTTGTCTGTTCAGGGCTACTGTAGAAACATGGCCGTTAAACATTTCGGACTGGAAGGTGACCCACAGCATCTGTAGATAAAAACAGCTCATTGTAAGGTAACAAAGCCCCAATAATTCTTATTTTCAGGTGATTATACACTAATGAAAACATACCTGTGAATATTATAGTCCATTTCTGCCAGCAGATCCTCCTGAATTATACACACACATTATCATCATTAAGGAGCTGGTCTGGTTTCAGTGCATCAAGTAAATTCTGATACACTTCATAGAACATCTTTAGCCACTCTATGGATGGCAGAGTTGGTTGGTCAACCTCTGTGACCAAAATATCTCAACCCTTATTGGATGCATTGCCTTAAAATTTTGTATAGACGGTCTTGGTCTCCAGAGGATGAACCGTACTGACGTTGGTGATCCTCTGACCTTTCCTCTAGTGCCACCATAAGACAAAAAATGGTTGATTGCCATGGAATTTGGCACCTGCATGTAATACCCGTTTAGTTGATGAATTGTCCCATAACTTAATTTTCATGTAGCGCCATGATCAGGTTAAAAAGTTATTCGTTCGGGACTAAATACCTGCAAAACTAAGCACAAATTGTCTTGTTTAGTGCTAATTGGCAAATGTTAGCATCCTAACGCACTAATCCAAGATGATGAACATGGAGATTAAAGATTATACCTGGTCAGCATCAGCATGTTATTTTATGGTGAGCATGTTAGCATGCTGGCATTAGTATTTAGCTCAAAGCTTTACTGTGCCTAAGTACAGCACCGTTGATTATGCATCCCTTTTTCTCTATCCTTCCCTCTCCGCTTCACAGAAAACAAGACAAAGATCAGAGAGTGCACGATATGGAGACAAAGACAGGCAGAGACACGGAGAGGAAGAACAGAAGAGGTAAGAAAGAGGGAGGAACTAAAGACAGTTCAGAGAAATGGACAAAGTCAGATGGAAAAATTATTCTACAGGACGAGTCATCAACTGGTCGATAGCGATCAATCTTTCCAAATCGAGTGCAGTTAGTTTTTGTTGCTCTTCTTTCACATTAAAAGCTCTACTGGTGAATCACATGGAGGTTGTTATTGTGAAGCAACAATATGAGATGTGATGTATTTCCCTGAGGTAGGTGCCAGGCACTGACGTCCACTATTGGGTAAGTGTACACAGCAAGATATGAAGATTTTCAGGCTTATTTTTTACATTTTAAATATCACAGGGAGGAAGGTAAAAAAAAGAAACCACCGTGAGCTATTGAGGAAAATCCAAATTCCCGTCATTTGTTTGGAAATGTTTTCATGTTTGTGTCTTTTCTAAAACATAAACCTTTCATGAGCCAAGAAAGAAAAGCCATTTTCATCTTGATGACAATTCATTTTTCAACCATTCCAATGTGTTTTTGAAATTGTTTATTTTACTTAAAGGGTAATTCAGATGTGTGAATGTGTTCAAACTCCAAAGTTTTAGTAACACAAAGAAAGGAACTGATCGAGGCAGCATTGCACCAGCAACTCCCACGTTCTGCAAAATTAAAATTACGTTTTTTGTCAATTGAGTGTGGTGGCTTTTAACAAAGCAACATAGTGTCTTGTTAAATAACAAGGATCTTAGTTCTTAACCAAAAATGGTTTATCTCTATGGGGAGCCTTTCCATAATGTTGGCAGACACTTAAAATAACAATCTGAGCCTGTCAGTGCCAAAAACAAACAATTAAAGCAGCCAGTGCAAACCATTTCATGGCTCACGGCTGACTTAATCTACTGAACCAGTTTCAAACATTTTGTATATACTAGTTATTTAGACCCCCAAATATGTAAAAATAAATAAATAACTAATAGCCGAACTTCAAAGTAAAACTTACTTGTACTTATGTTTTCATACTTAAATTTCATTGTATCTCAAAAGGAAATATTGCACTTTTTACTCCTTTACCTGTATTTGACAGCTATAGTTATTACTTTGCAAATGATAATTCTACATCTGAAACCTATGACCACAATATAAAAAGCTTTATATTTTTTAGAAATGTAACTATCCAAATGTATGTGAATTGTTTAAAGATCCCCTCCACGTTCCCTAAAATGTCAGTCCTTGACTTCACTGCAAGGTTTGTCACTAGAAAGGTGTTTTTCCCTCTCCTGAAGGCGCAGATGTCTCCACACTTTCCCTAAAATCTGAGATTCAAACGAACCCCAGGCAAGCTAGATATAATATTTGAAAGCCAATTGCTTTCCTAGCAAAGCGTGCAGTTTTTGGATGCAACTCAGACCCTGGAGCTTCTTTCCACTATCTTTATGTAATAACAATGTGAACACAATGTAACATTGTAGCAGGTATTACATGTTTCACAACCGCTAACTCTGTGTCAGCCACTGCCAGTTACAAGTTAATAAGTTAACAAACGACATAAACAAATAACAGATGCATTGCACTTAGCATTCCTGTACATCTGCTCGTCTCCGGTTGTGTTGCATATCAGACGCCTCAACTGAGTCTGGGTCGGACTGAGGTTCAAACATGCCGGCTCTGGCTGTGTGTTCAGCTGTGTAGGCTGGTTTTGGGACTTTTTTATATAAATTCTTTTTACTGTTCTTTAGTTTCACCTTGATAAAACGAAGCCGTACTCATATCTGTGGTTAAATATTCTGCATCAAAGTAATATAATGAAAAGCATCGTTCAACATTTGAACACCTGTCTTTCCCTTTGATTAATGTATTTCTGATGATCTTTGCTTGGAGGACATTGATGACCACCAATATCGAGATACTCAAGGAGATGAAAAGAGAGAGAGAGAGAGAGAGAGAGAGAGACATTGTTAACTTATCCTGCCCTGCATTGCCTCCGCTCTTCCCCAAGCCACACCCATATTCCCACATCCATGTTTTGATTGGTCGGGCTGCCAGCAACAGTCTGCTCTCCATCCCCTCTGTTCCCCCACTCCTCCCACACCCCTCTCACCCTCTCTCGTTCTCCATGCAGCTAGTCAGTGAATGAGTCCAGTCAGACACAAGCTGTTAAACAGCACAGCCCCTCTCTTGCTCTCTCTCTCTTTCTCTCTCATTATCTCTCTCTCTCTCTGTCCTTTCCCGTCTCAGGAGCAGACAGTCAGTGGAGCATCGGCACGGCAACGGAGCGACACAGGACTGACGGAGAGAGAAGAAGCAAATCTCGCTCACAGCAACACAACATTAAGAACATTTACAGCAGAACAGTGACTGCAGTACAGTTCAAATCAAAGCGGAAGCAACAGATTGCCCCCCAGTTGTTGCAGCAACTGATGCTCTCCCGACTGATCTGGGCTTGGAAACAAAGCAGATTTGCAACAGCTCCTGCAGCTGATGTCTCCTGGGTTTTGAAAGTCAGTTTATCTGTGTGAAAGAAATGTTTTTTGCTCTGTCAAAGCACGAGGAAATGACAGCGCCGTGCAACGGAAACGAAAAGCTTTAATTCGGTCGGAAAGCAACACGTTTCAAGCTGGGCGTCAACATCACCTCTACCACCAGCGTCTCCTCCCGGATCAGAAGAAGACCAAGCATCCGAGCTATGAATGCACAAGCAGGAGGAGGATGTTAGATTGACATGCAGAGTTCAGGGAGTTTTGCTGTGAAACAGAGTAAGGTCAGCTTTTATCAGTGTGAAGAAGCAGGTAAGACTCAAAACCGAACAACAATAAGTCCATCAGACTATCACCTGGACTTCTGAGGACAAAAAGGGATGAAGAGGAGTGCGTACACCAGCATCTGCCTAAGAACGGAAGCAAAGCACGAATCCAAAAACTAGAGCAGAAATGACAGTAGGGGAGAGCTTCCACTCCGCTACGCACAACCACAGATAGATGATCAGTTAAGAAAAAAGCATCAGCCAAGATATCATTTATCAGAGCACTTAACCTCATCAAAAGTGAGCAACCAACAGAGATATCTGAGTTCACAAGGATGATTTTGCACCGCTGGAGCTTGCATGTTGTCTAACATTCAGAGAGACAGCAGCAACAGCAAAATCTTCCTTTGACGTCAACTTCTGCTGCCACTTACTGCAAGTACGTTTTTGCACCGATTATATTCGGTGTGAGCACCTTGGGGTTCTTGCTTGACTCTTCTTTTCGGGGTGAGGTGGATCTGCCGTGGGGGGCAGCTGACAGCCATCCAAGACGCCGCGAGCCGTACTCCGCGTGAAGAATGCCCAGCCGCGCTTGGCCAAGCCGGCCGACCCGGGCCCGACGGCGGGCCTCTACATGGAAAGATCGCAGAGCCGCATCAGCCTGTCGGCGTCCTTCGAGGCCCTCGCCATCTACTTCCCCTGCATGAACTCCTTTGATGAGGACGATGGGGGTGAGTGGGAATGACACACAGACACAGACATACAACCACAAAAATGAATGATTGAGTCATACATAAAACATAGGACACAGGGGACATAGTATGTGTCACCTGTCTGCTGGAAAACTGACGTTTCCACACGTCCGGCAGTGTGTTATGTTAATCTGTCAGGGATCAGAGAACATCTCATTCAGAAAGTCATCTTCAACATGTGCGTGTCCTGCTAAAACCATGTATATTTTTATTACTTATATTATGAATTGTTAAGATGTGTGTATATTAGATCCAATGTGATCCAGTGGTTTGACTTAGCTCAAGACACGCTGTTATAGTCTGTATATTGTGCACGATATGGGTAAAAAATTATACTTGAATGAATTTTCAGCGGTTAAAAGTTATTCATCAAGCAAATACCAAAAATTCTCTTGTGAAGATGTTTCGTATTTGGACTGTTTGGACACAACAAACAATCTTAAGATGATTGCTATTTTTCACTGTTTTGTCATTTTATAAAAAATATAAATCTATTTGAAAATACAGTATACATATTAAATGAAAGTGAATATATTTGCTAGGTGCAGCCCTGCTAACACTGACAGTACAGATTTGACTGGGAGCCGATGGTTGAATCGTAGATGTCCACTTAGCCAATAATGTTGGCATTTAACCAGATTAAACACATCCAGTTTATAGTGTCTGTGCATGCTGTCACACCAAACTTTTTTTTTTATCCTCCGAAATGTCACTTGAAAGCTCATTGAATAACAAACGCTCTATAAAAAGCCAGTCTTAATTTGATGCCAGTGCTCATTTCACATACGCAACCTGTAGAGTTTATGATGTCAGTGGGATGAGACATGAAAAAAACAATGTGTCTTCTGAGACATATTTGCCTGAGTAGACTCCAGTGGAGGAAGAAGTACTTAGATCCTTTATTTAAGTAAAACTAATATTGCCACAGTATAAAAAAAAGTCCTGCATTTTAAATTGTACTTGTAAAAAATTAAGTATTACCAGTAAAATGTACTTAAAGTATCAGAAGTGAAAGTACTCACATAAAAAATGGCCCCTTTCAGTGGGTGAAAATATGTAGCCGTCAAGATGATCTGTTTTTATTCTACACGTTAAGACAAGTTACAAGTTATCATTGTGTGCAACAAGATAGAAAATAATTATTTTGGGACTTCAGGGGCTCTCCTGTTAGTTTTGTTGCCGGGCAATTTACTGCTTTATCATTCTTATAAGTACATGATGACCTCCTGGAAATCCCAGCAGAGCTTTGCACTCACACCTGAGTCGAATCAGCCTAACTGAAAACAGCTGTGAGGGTCTTTGGGGCCTTTAATCTGTAACGACGCATCATATTCTATAAAATGATTGTGTGTTTTGTATGTAAAATCAAAGTAACTATAGCTGTTCCATAGATGTAGTGAAGGAAAAAGGATAATATTTCCCTGTGAAATGTAGTGTAGAAGTATTAAAGTGGCATGAATTGGATATACAAGTAACTCAAAATTGTACTTAAGTACAGTACTGAAGTAAATGTACTTAGTTACATTCCATCACTTACAGACTCTATTGTCTGTATTTAGCTTTGGCTTATTAAAAACAGCACAGTTTTGATCCTATTTCCTTAAAGAATTAGATCATCTCATCCTAAAATATAGTACAATTAGACTAAGATTGATGTGTTTTTGATGTTTGTTGTGTATGTGTGTGCACGCACGCAAGTGTGTGTGTGTGTGTGAGTGTGTGAGTGTGTGAGTGTGTGTGTGTGTGTGTGTGTGAGTGTGTGTGAGAGAGAGAGAGAGCCTGTGCACACCTGTGTGGTTATGTCAGGTTTTCTATGATGAGATTGTCAGCAGGATCAAGTATTTCCCCAAATTGGATGCATGAGATGATGTAATTCATTTTGCTCTCCACTGGTATTATTCCTACATTACATCTACTCCTGATTTCCTGTCATACTAATCCAATCTTTTCTGAAAACTGTAGTACTGGATTGTCTTTCCCATACAAATTGAAGTGAAGGTTACGAGGATGTATATAAGAGTATCTCTGGAAAAATAACAGGTTTTGATAAGGTTGTGTGTTTTCAGGTTTAAACTGTTGTATGTGTAAGCTAGTGTTAAGTAGGTCATAGGGTTGCTCAACGTGTAGAAATAACACAAACTGCTAGATAACAATAAAATAATTAGAATTCAAACATTTAATAGATGGTTTATAACACACTATAATGCAGTTGGACATTTTAAGTAGGTTTGTATCGAGACTTTTTAAAGTGTTGCTAAACCTGCAACACACAACACATTTCTGCAACTTTTTTCACATTAAGCCACACAGTGACAACAGATGGCTGTAGCTAGCTCACATATTAAAAGCAATAACCACGGACAGTACATATAGTGGACGGAGCTTCCCGGTCTGTGAAGTGAAGCCTATGCGAAGTGTCTTAAACATGCATTCTATGTAGAGGCCAGCAGGAGGCAGTATGGAGTCTTGTGAAGACTACTACTACTGCGCACTTCATTTATTATCTCTTTAAACAGTTTCAAAATAACTTTATAGTCTGAATTGCTGGTTTCAGTCTACTTCCATACAGCATGATTTTCATTTAGTAAATTACGGTCCCATTTAGAGTAACACAGGCGATAAAGCAGGGTATGCTTTACGGCGAGGCTACCTTGTGATTGACAGCTCATTCTAAGTGAGTCTGTCCAACGTGCTGCACAAAACTCAGATTAAACAGTCAAACTACGCAGTGCTGGTCAAATATGCGTAATATTGCTCTGCTTATTCCTCTCTCAAATCTTTTCAGAAACATATTTTAGTGTACTTGAATACGACAACGTGTGTGACGAGGTGAGCTGCCATTGTTTTCTGCTACAGAGTTGAAATTAAGCGCAGCCCAACTCACAGTACTACACTGCCGCTCGCTCTGAAAAACTGCCATGACAACGGCCATGATGCCAAACTCAAGTCTTCAAAACTGTACTCCACAAACCAATGGGTGAGGTCACAATAGGTAAACACTTTGCAATAACTCTAACCTTCTTATGACCCCAGAACCCAATGGGCCCCAACAGCAGGTTCACTGCATGTCATCTGACTCTTGTCTGGTTTAATAATTGCAGTTTTTAAGGGTTTTTAATTAAACCAGACAAATCTGCTGTTTCATTTGCTCTGTGTCTTACATTTGCAAATTAGTCTGGCAATGCCAGGCTAGGTCCAAATCTAGTTTTAAGATCAAAATCGTTTTAATCTATATTGTAAGTTGTTTGCATTGAATTTAGAGAGCAGTAGGTGGGAGGTTGGCCCAACAACAAATGTCTGCCCAAAGCCCCCTGGCAGGTAAACCTGTGCATGACTGCCAGAGGTATATATAAAAGCTTCATCCTTAAGGATATTTTTTACTCTACTCTATTATTTTAAGAGCTTAGGTGCTGCTGTTGCTTTCCCAACATTTCGATAATACCAGTAAAAAAAACCATGAGGGAACAAACGGCAGCAGCATGGTCAGCAGAATCTCAAGAGATTTTTTTCACACAGTTGGAACTTGTTGGAGCAGCTGGGACAAGACCAAATGGTCTGCTTGGCTGAAACCACCTGTGGTAATTGTTTAGATAGCAAATAACAGTAATTTCCAATCCAATACTTGCAGCAGCTCAGTCTAACCAAACCATTCGCCCAAAGCTCTGAGATGGAAGCTCATTCTTAGAAATATCTTGCTCACCACTTTCACCTGCTGCTTCTCAGACACACACACACACACACACACACACACACACACACACACACACACACACACACACAGTTGAGAGCAACTAATTGCCTTTGTGAAATCCGATTGTCAATGAGACACAAAGCTGGAATGAGGGAGAATTTAAAAAGAGAACACTGAAAATGATTGTGATCTGTTTATCAGAAACTAGAATTGACAAATTGACTTGTCCTGTGCTCTCATAGGGGCATGTGGCCTGTACCGATCACAGATAACACTGCGGTGCACAGTACTGAAATCACCTTTAATCACCTGGGTGAAAGTCAATATCATACCTGTGCCAGTGAAGCTAATCCCCCCCAAACATTGTGGACTCGGTGTCCTCTGGGTTAATGTGCTCCTAAACCACAGTTCAACAGCTCCATAATCTTAAGCTTTCACTGAGTTGTCCTTTCTGGGCTCCAGTGACCAAGGAGTTGAGGCATCAACCATGAATGAACAGCAGCCTGGTTCATGTTCAACCTTTGTGGCATGTCAGTCCCCGTCTCTGTCTTCCCTCATTTCCTGTCCTCTCTGCTGCACTTATGTAATAGAGTCATAAAAAAGGCCCCCAGAATTGTTTTAAGTGTAGTGATTATCATCATACATGTATTATGTTATTATTAATGTTAGCAGCTAGCGGCGCTCACTGGTCCTTTAAGGCCTGATACTCATTAGACACAAGCCCTAATATACACTCGCTTTCAGGGTCATTGTCGTGGCCAGCATGCTGTCATTTAATTGCCACCCTGATCCCGACATTATCTGCGATGTTATTTTTATCAAACATATGTGTCTCTTTTCATGCGGGTCTTGCAACTATTAGTTACTAGTATCCATATTAATATGATGTCCTGTGATGTAATGACATCTATGGTGTATGAGCAGACACAGAGCATCTGTTCTTGAACTGCCACATTTTCTGATATTGTTCTGAGTTGTTTTATAAGAATATTGAATAGCTTAGATGCTCTGTGGCTATATTTACTGAAAACAGCAGTAACACCGTCTCTATGTCTCTCTCTCATTGCCACATACTTACAAAGACAGCTTATTTAGTTTTTTATATGTTGGAGCTCCACTCCAGACATGTTTTAAATTACGATTCACATTTGTTGAAAATAAAAACTCCCTAGCTACTAGGTAGACCGATGCCCATTGTGCAGCCATAGAACATGGTAAACATTATTCCTGCTAATGAGCAGCACCGTAGTCTTAACAAATGGGACCTCCTACATTCTTTAAATCATTT